GGGTATTATGTCCCAGTGATGGGAAAGCTGACTAATACAATCTGTGTAATGAATTCCTTCTATTAAATTCCAAATGTTGCACTGTCTTATTTTCCTGATTGGACCCTGAAGATTTCATTAATGACATGTTGATTCATTTAATATCCCTAGCCAGCTATGAGGCAGGCACCAATATTATTTTCATTTTTCAGACAATGAAAATAAGGGAAGTTAAAGGACATAGCCACTGTCTACAGTTGACATTAGTTGGGTTCACTGAAATTCTTTTATCTCTTAGAAGCATCACAGTATAGTACTTCAGATATCCTGATAGTATTTTGGATATAGAGTCTTTTTTTTTTTTTTTTTGGTTTTGGCCTTAAAACATAGAATATATTTTTTTCATTCATTGTGTATTTGAATGAGTAAGTGAAATACAAATGGATCTTCTTAGATAAGGCCACAATGACTAGGAGAGATTTTCTCCTAAGGATCCTGTTCAGCATTCTTCCTTACTGGTCACCCTGATGTGAAAAGTTTGTCTAAAGAGACAGTAAGTTTCCTAGATCCCATTAATAGGTGGAGTTTTGTACCAAAACATCAGGGTTAATTTTGCAAGGATGGTGATTGAAGTTAAATCAGGTTTTCAGAGTTACTGGAGTGTTTGTGTGTGTGAAGGTAGAAGAGGAGGGAAATGACCATGTTCATGGTGATGATAAACTGAAAAACTGAAATATTACAGAAAATATTACACTAAAATATTACACTAAAACTTGTGCCCAGTGTATATATTTATTTTGAGTGCTTTTTGCATTTAGCAAAAACTAATCAATCTTGTGATCATAAATTGTCAGTTATTGTAGAAGTAATCAATCAAAAAGAAAAAGTTCAAGGATCCAAATCCTTGTTGGGAATTTGGCTTTAGTCTTTAAAATCATAGACTAATAGGGCCACCTGGTGTGCAGTTGTGTAACCACACATTCATTTAAAAAAATCTTACTAATAATCATTCTGGTTCAATTGTCTTTACCAAAACAAACCATTCCTGAGGCTTTCTTACAGTCATGAGGACTTTGGTTTATTCCAAAACTTAAGATTGCTAAAATGCATTATAATCTTACTAGCCAATAGGGCTTGCGGGGTTGCAGGTTCTTATAAAAGCGAAGTAAATGCCATTATTAGCAAGCTAAACCATGAAACTGTGAAATCAGAGGAAGTCAGTGAGGAGAGATCAGAAAATGTATCCCCTGGGATGAGGTAGGGTAGGGCATCATACGAGAGACCTTGATGTTACAAGAGGGGAAAAAGTGGGCCTGTTCTTGGGCTTCCTCTTATGTTATCCTCAAATAACATTCCAGTCCAGTTCATGTGTACTCTGATCATAAACGCTTATTCTTGAATCAATCTCTTCTTATAGTTGAATGACTGAAACAATATGTTGTAGTAAATCCATGTTGTGCTTTGAATCAAAACGTCCCCCAAAAGGCTCATATGTGCTGAGGTAGGGTTTTGGGTAGGTGATTAGATCCTGGGGGCAGTAAGCTCAGCCACAGAAGACTCCACTGATGAGGTTATAGCTGAATGTGTGTTAGGAGGAGGGGCTTGCTCGGAGGAGTGGGTCACTGAGGGTGTAAACTGGATGGGAATATCCCTGCCTTCAGCCCCTTTCTCTCTCTTTGGCTCATCCCTGTTCTCTGCTTCTGCTCTCCATGACAGGAGCAGCTTTCCTCTGCCAAGCCCCTCTGACAGGATGTTTCTCCCTTGGAGCCAGTCGACCTAGGACTGAGACCTCTGAAACTGAGGCTGCAGAGACTTTTACTCCTCTGAGTTGCGTATGTTGGGGATTTTGTCCCAGCAACAAAAAGTTGACTAAAACAAGCCAAAGACAATAAATTCTAAAATCCAAATGCTTTACTTCTTATATGTCTCACTTCTTTAATTTTCTGACAGAGTCCAACAAATAAGATGCAGGAAGAAGGGGAGTAAGATGAGATCGGGTGTTTGCACCAGCCAGTCAGATTTCTGCCACCCCACACCTCTGATTTGCTGAGAGGCTGGGGATCTGAGAACAGGTTCACTGAACCAAAGCTACAGAACTCTGCAGCTAGCTGCAGCCAGCAGGGGCCCAGTGCTACCCTGTGAATCTCCTACTAGAAAAGGGCTCTAGGTGCTTTAAATGAATTTTAGCATAATTCGTTTGCTTCACAAGTTAGTAATTTCCTGGCTCATCATCAGTATAGATCTCTGGTTCTCAGCTGAGGCTCAAATTGCCAACTTCTGGAAATATTTTTGGGTCATCACAACTGGGAAAGGTGGATGCTAATGGCACCTAGTGGGTAGAGGCCAACAATGCTGCTTCAAATGTTACAGCCTGCAGAAAGCTCCAAAAAGGGAGAATTTTCTGGCCTCAAATGTCAGTAATGCTAAGGTGGAAAAACCATGGGATCCATAGCAGGAGAAGACTTGGAAGGAATTGCTATGTGCTAGGAACTTCTGTTGATCCTGAAGTTCAGAATTCTACCAGTTTGGAGGATGTCATAGCATGTGACTATCTGTGGCTTGAAGCCCAGTCACAGGCAACAGGTGGCAGGAGAGGCTCTGACCAGGGTAGCCCAAGGTCAGTGTAAGGAGTCAGGACTTGAGCAGAGGCTACTGATCGTTAGAGAAATGGAAGCTTATCAATTTGACCTTATTCACTTCCTTCCCACAATCCAAGGACTTCATGACATAATTTCCTATTCATATAAAAAAATGAATGAGCTTAGATGAGAGACAAGAGGGCCAACTAGAGGGGACAGAGGAGCGGCAGATTCATGGCAGCACACACAAATGCATTTGCTAAGAACATTTGACCAGATATGCTAGGATGACATGTTACAGTAAGTTTGAGATGGACTCACAGACCTGTTCGAACTGACCGGTGCTTTCATTAACTTCGCTTTTGGTTAGGCATGTTCAGGAAATTACAATCCCCATCCCAAGGGTATGTAGAGCTGGACTCCTACAGCAACAATCAATTTCAGGGCACACAGACAAGAAACAACACAGTCACTACATTTCCTGGGTCTGAAAGTATGTAATTTTCTGGTGGAGACTTACATTCTCTGAGTCTTAGACCACAGAAATCACAATCAGTGGATTTCCCTGTAACATGGTATAGAGAAGCACATTCTAAGTGGAGGAATGTTCTAGAAAATTCCTCATGCAAGTCCAAGTTGAAGACGTGCTTCAGGTTTTAGATATAGGACATTTACAGATGGAATACTTGTCAGGTGCTCTGAGAGGACTTCAGAGTCTACTTTGTACATTTGAAATGTTGGTTTTAATTAGATTGATTCATAGAGGGTCAGAACTAAAAATAACATTCATTTCAGTTATTCATTTAACAAATTTGAAGGTCTGAGCATTTTGCTAAGTGCTGGTGAGAAAAAAAGCATGAGTTTCGGTGCTATTACCTGAAATCTGGGTCCTCACATGGTGAGGTCCAAACGTTGCAAGGAACTGGAAATATAACGGTGATTCTCTGTCTTTGATGAAAGATTTCAGACAAGACACATAGGTCATTGTACAGAGTAGTAGTGGCGAACCTACGGCATGCTGCAGCAGGCTTTTTGTATCATTGAAAAGCTCTAAGGTTTGCCATCACTAGTATATAGGTAGAGGTTATTGCAAATAATAGATTTTTCAGAGAGCGAGAGAGCGAGAGAGCGAGTGAGCAAGCATGAAGGTGGGTAAGGCCAAGATGGCCTTACAGTTGCAGTGATTGAGGTCTCAAGTTACATGACTTACTGGATATTTCTAGGGATATCTTTTCCTTCTTCCAAGGTCACTGTTATTGTACAAATAAAATAGGCTGCGTTGACCTACTTTACGGAATAGTTCCCTCTATACTCCTCAGGTAGTGTCTCCTTTTGGTTTGTTTTGAGAGCTCAAAGTTTTCCAACCTCTACCCATGGTCTGGATCTTATTGCTACACTTAGAGGATGTGACATTCTCTTGAGTTATAGTTTGAAACGGCAAGGAAAGCCAGGCATGGTGGCACATGCCTGTAATCCCAGCACTTGTGAGGCTGAGGCAGAAGGAGGATTCCCCAGGAGTTTGAGGTCAGAATTCAAAGCCACGAATGAGAACTTGTTTCAAAAACAAAAACAAACAAAAAAGTAGAGGAAAAAAAGAAAATATCCCGTCTTTTCATGCTTTTCAATTTGTCCCTAGCCCCTGATTTCCAACCTGCTAATGACTTTCTGCCTAATAGTGCTGTCAGTTTGGTTGGGAAAACACAGTTGAGTAAGTAACTGCAATGCAGGTATGGGTTGACAACTGCCTGGAATTCCCTGGTTCTGGTTTCTTCTGTGTCCCTCTGGGTAGTTCGCTACGCTTCAGAGTTGTGCCACATCAGAAGTGTCAGGTGTGGAACAGACGACTGAGGAATTCCTGGCCAGCAACTCACATTAGGCGCTCCCTAAATATCAGCCTTTATCGTCAACAGAACCTTCCTACTAGAAGAACCTTGTCCAAATCTGGAAAATCAGGAGACACTTGAACTAGCATTTTGAAGTTCTCCACGTTTATAAGGTTGTGTTTATATGCACAACAAAGTCTGTGAATCACCCCAGGTGATAGCAAGGTTTTTAATCTGGGATCGTTTATTCTCCATAATGTTCCAAAACAAGGAGCTACCACCGTCTAGGGCATCTGCCTCAGAATTCTTCCTTTCGGCTTCAATTTCTATTCCGGTTGGGACTGGACTACATTTCCCAGTATGTCCAATCACTGAGTGCTCGCTCCGGCAGGATTGGCCAGAGCCGCGCGGAAGTGACTTCGGGTCGCCCAGCAACGGGTGGAGTCCTGGATCTGGACTGGACACGCACGCCTCTTGCCTGAGGCCTGGACAGTGACGATACTCCGCCCCGTCCCTGAGAGCTCAGCTTTTTCCGCCTTTTCTTTCTAGCCGAGCTGTGGCGCAATCTCCTTAGCGTTTAAACCGCCTTTCACCTGAGACTCCGCCCCTTTTACGCTGGCGGACTGGAAAACCAGGAGACTGTATTGCAGCTGCGGACTCGGCGGTGTGGCGCCCGGCTGTGCAGTGCGCAGGCGTGAGCGGTCTGTACGTCGCGCGCGGCGCTCAGTTGAAGCGGGAGTGAGTTCCTGGGTGAGGAGACCCGGCGGCGGGCGAGCGCCTCTTCTCTCCGCCATGGCAGCGCTGCGCTACGCCGGCCTGGACGACACGGACAGCGAGGACGAGCTGCCCCCGGGCTGGGAGGAGCGAACTACCAAGGACGGCTGGGTTTACTATGCCAAGTAAGGGGGCCGCAGCGGGGCCGCCGGGCCTGAGGCGCACCTGGCCCGGGACCCACCTGCAGCCTGCGCCGCGTGGCGCCCGGGCCCCTTGGCGAGGGCGGTGCGAAGTGAAGGTGCTCGTGAAAGGCGCCCGTGGGTCCCCAGCTGCGGCCGCCGCCTTTGTGGGCTCCGGGCCGGCGGGGATCACCTGGCCGCGTCCAGGCGCCCTCTGCTGTCCAGGAGGCAGCCCTGCACGGGGCGCTGGCGGCAAACCCCTTACCCCCAGAGAGAAATAAAGATTAAAGGCAGATGCCGATGCCCAGCTTCCTCCTTGGGGTCTGGCGTGGAGGCCTAGGGGTATGTGTTTTTCAAACAAATGTCCTTGATAGCTTCTCTGTCACTTCCCGAGGAAGTGTTGGGAACCCTAGTAGAGCTCTCCATCACTATGATTCTGGGTCACTGAAAGAACTCTTAGCCTCTGTTTCCTCGTCTGCACCGTGGGTCGACATAGGGCCATTCAGGCACTGCATGAAGCGCTGAGCCCAGGCTCTAAGGGATAATCCGTTCGCTTTTCCTGAGTTGCTTCTTAGGCCTGACATGCAGGTGTTGGATCTCCATAGAGAACCTGGTGTGTCAGATTCTCCACTTGGGGAATCTGTATTTTCTTTTTTTTTTTAAGTTTCCTCTGTGAATACATTATCACCTGGTTTTGAAAAGCGAAATGTAAACTAGTGATTTCAGCTTTTTTTTTTGAGACAGGGTCTTGCTATGTAGTTGAGCCTGGCCTTGAACTCACTATGTAGCCCAGGCTAGCCTCGAACTCTTCTTGATTCTCCTGCCTCAGCCTCCCTAGTGCTGGGTTTCCAGCCATGCGCCACCACGCCGGGCTTGGAAAATGTGTTGAAATAGTTCTTCTTGAGTTCCCCTTCCAAAGGTGATCAGTTAATAATGTTGAGGCTTTCCCTCCCCCCCACTGATAAGTTGCAAAATCCTCCCAGGTGATTCTGATCTACCCACAGGCGTGAACCAGTGCTGGCTTTGGTGGCCAAGTAGGAAGAAAAGCAAAAAGCAAAAAAAAATTGAGTGAGTTCATTCAGAGCATAGAGAGACCTTAAGTGCCAGGTCTCTTGTAGGACACTGGTCATAAGGAACTGAATCACGCCCAGTTGTCACCTGTCTTAAGAGGGCAGAGTGCCACAGTGCAGTGTGTGTACCGAGCCGCAGCTGGTTCAGCATGGGAATTGGGTGGGAGGTGCAGGGCCCCTTAGTGAGGTGATTTGGCCCCTCAGTTGTGTTTTGGAGTAGGAGTGGAGGAGCTAGGTCAAGGGGCAGCAGGTGAGAGGAGAGGCTCCTCCGGGGAGCAGGGCCTCTGTTATTAGGCCCAGAGGTCCTTGGAAGGTTTGGAGCCAGGAAGTGACGTAGAGTTAACGGCTCTGGAGAACTAAAAGGAACTGTAGCAGCAAGGAGCACTGTTCCTTCCCCCTGGATGTGTGTGCCTTTACTTAGGGACCCTTCCCTCCCTCAGCTGAGCTCAGAACCTCCTTGCCTGGGGGTGCCTGCCCCCTGTAGCCATTGCCTCGTTACCTGCCTCTTGGTTCTGAGCAGCATCTGTCGGTGTTCTGTCAGTATTTGCTGTTGCTTTCCTCCTCTACACGACAAACTTCTATTTTGTTGTTGTTTTTAGAGACAGGGCCTCTATGTCATCCAGGCCAGCCTTAAACTTGTGTAGCTGAGGCTGTCTTGAATCACCATCCTCCTTCCTCAGCCTCCCAAGTACTGGTGTCACAGGTGTGTGCCACGTTGCCTGGCTCACACTGTACTCTCTGAAGGCAGGGACCTCTTCTTCTCCTGTTTCCCCAGCACTTTAGCACCTAGAAGCTGAAGAAAAACAACAGCAACACAATCTGCGGAATGCGTAAATAGCCAGGGACCTCCATGAGCAGACCATGTACTGTGCCCCAATACACAGAGATGCCCGGGACCTGCTTCAGCGCTCTTCGAGCCCTGCTCTGCCCTAGGCTGACCTCTTTCCCCAAAGGCTGCCCCCTTCCTTCCCTTAGGGCCTAGGGGCCCCTTTCTGCTGGTCCTGTCCCACCCTGGTTGTGCCTTTGTGGCATGGCCTTTCCTGTCTGCTTCTTCCTGGAGGACTCATGGAGCACATGCGTCCTTCGACCCTCAGCCATACCTGAGGTCTCATGCTGGCCTGTCCAGCCCCACCATCACCCCAGCTTTCGGGCAGATAGTCTCTCCAGTCCTGCTGGCTCACGGGTTGACTCCAACCCTGGAATCCCAGCCGTCTTTCTTGGTCTTTCCCGACCAGTGGCGAGAGTCCTGGCCCTTCTTTTCCCTCCTCACTCTGGCCACAACATGTCTTTCCTGTCTTGCTGATGGGCTCTCAGACTAACCCGTGAGTTGTTCCTTTTTCTGGGTGGTCTTCCTCCCACATGCTCCAGGACAGAGGCCATGGCCCACTAAGACCTCAGGGTCTTGGGGGCCCCCATTTTTGTAGCCTTAGCTGTGTGCCCCACGGTGCACCTCAGACCTGAGGCACTCATGCCCCATGGCTGCAGAGCCTGCAGGCTGGGATTTGGGAGGCCAGGAGGCTCTGGTGAGTCCACCAGTTTTGGGGCTGTCACTGCAGCCTCTAGGCCTCTCTGTGTCTTCATACTCATCCCCACCTGGTCTGGTGCCCCTCTGGTTGGCCCAGATCTCTGCCAATGGATACTAAGCAAAACAACAACAATAAAAATAACCAAACCAAACCCAAACCCTGCAAGAGCAAACTTGGAAGTGGTACTCATGTAATGTGAATAATTTAATTTAATTTTAATCCCTTTGGTTAAACTTAAGGTTACTGTCAGCTATCTCTTTAAATGACAAAAAGCTTATTGAAAGAAAAAATGGAGGGCTTCTAATTAAGGTGGAATCAGATAATACTTTGGGGACTTGAGGCATGATTTACTCTTTATTAAAAAGTCATTTAAGGTTATAATTAAAAAGAACACCCTTTAATTAATTTTTATATGTAAGTATTTACTTAAAATAATCCTATTGAAAGGCACATTTCTTCACAAGTTAACTGATTCGGTCCTCCAGAACCCCAACAGGTAGATGCTATTGTTATATCCATTTTATTGACAAGGAAACTGAGGCACAAGGAGGCTATCTAAGTTACTTTTCTCATTGCTGAGACAAAATACCTGACACCCAGAGTTAAAGAAGGGAAGGTTTATTTGGCTCACAGTTTGTAGAGGCTCCATTGCAAGGTGGCATGGCAGAAGGGCATTGCAGAGGAAAACAGTCCATGGCAGAGCAGGGCAGGCAGAAGGCAGCAAGCAGCAAGCGAGACGGGACAAGAGGCCAGAGACCCTCTTTCTGTCCCTTCTGTCTTAACCAGGCTGCCTACCCTCAGGGTGGTTAGCACTCACACCCAGGGTGGGGCACCCTTAATCCTACCCAGAACCATGCCAAACCAGGCAGTGGACTAATTTAGTGACACACACTCAATCCCAGCATCACATACTCCAGATCCACCCACCTCCAAAAAGCCCCACCTGTGACCACATGAGGCCTTGGGGGGACATCTAGACACAAACCATAGCAGAGGCTACAGCACTTCTCCAGGAGTGCATGGCTGGTGGGTGAGAGCACCAGGAGAGGTGGAATCCTCACCCCTAAGTGGCATTCTTGGGTTAGATCTGGGGTCGACAGTGTCTGGGAACCCCTGGTCTCAGCATGGTGTGGGGAGTGATGTATTGACACCCAGGGTAGAGGCCTCAGTTTCAGGGCTACTTTGGAAAGGGTGTACATTTTCACCCTACAACAGGCCAGGCAAAGGCTGTGCAGGTGCCTGATGGTCCAGCCTGCCATGGAGCTCTTTGGTCCACTCTTAGGGGCCATCTGGTGGATGTGTTTCGAGCTAGGCTGCAGGCCCATTTGTTGCCTTCCCTTGAGATGGAGATGACTGTAAACGTTGGGCATTTCTGTTCTGGAAGAAGTGTGTTGCCTCGCGGAGCAAGGAGGAGGGAAGTTGGCTGTCACTGCTGGAGTTTGGCTTGTCTGCTTGTGTTCCCCTCTGTTTGCAAGGATAAGCAGGAGAGGGGTTCCTGATGCTCTCACCACGTCCATGGGAGCTGTTCATCCTTAGGAGGGTGTCGGAGCTCGACGTACAGGGCAGGAGCTTGTCTGCTACCGATATCTCTTGCTCGCACCAGGATTTAATCATGCTCTAAGCACTGCCACAGGTATCCTGTGTCTCCCCTTTGCCACCGCTCTGGGAGTTGGGCATAGCCTGAGACCAGCCTGCAGAACACAGCTACCTGTAGTGGAGAGCTCTAGTATTCTGCCTGTGAGTCTGGTGTCCCTGCGCTGTGACAGTGGCCCAGCTGCCCAGAGTCTATAAAGCCAAATCAGAAGCCAGCAGTTGATGGAAAGAGAGCCTGGCCTGGGAGAGTAGTTCAGTGCTTGCCTAGCATTTGCGGCACCCCGGGTTTGATCCCCAGGACTGCACCAAAAACAAACAACAACAGAAACAAGGATCTTGCTTGTGATTTGCATCATTTTACAAAAATTCCCGCTGCTTTTCTTTAGCGTAAGCAATGGGAAGGGGCATCCAAGTTTTGTCATTTAAATGTCCTTGATTAAGTGACACTATTTTCTATTTTGACAAGAGTTTGTGAGCTTTCTGGAAATCCGGCCCAGCCTTTGAAAGACCCCCTGGCGCTTTGGGCTGGTTCCCTGAGGCAGTAGTGGAATGTTTTCCTGATACCTCCTCACCTGGGGACAGGTGTTCTAGCTGCGTGGTGGTTAGATTTTATCTGAGGTAAAATGCTAAGTTTGGACAGAAGTCAAGCTGGTGTGTATACTTGAAGTGTCCACACTAATGGCTTGCACATTTGGGGATTTTTCCTATGTTAGCTGCTATGCGAAAACCTTTGTGTGCAGGTCCTCGAGAGGAGAGCAGGGTTTGTATTTTGCAGATGAGAAGGCAGAGGCTAAGAGGTTAGTGACTTAACCGAAGCTGCACGGCTGTACAACCTCTGGGTTTGTCTCCCTGCATTCTTAAGGGCTCTTGTGCTTAATGAAACACTGCGATTATGAGACTACCACTGTATCTACATTCCATTTAACAGAAGCATTATACAGTCGATGTTTGTTGATATGTCCTGGTATAAAACTAAAATACAAAATGCCTCTCCAGATATTTTGGGTGATTCGTGGGGTTTTCTAGAGTTGCCCGCACATCAGAGGTCCAGTACTTTTTCTCCTTTTCCTCGCCCACCTGTAAGCCCGCCTCTCAGCCGATGCCCAGGATCGCATCCCCTTGTGACTTGGACCTGATGCACCCAGCGAAATTTGTGTTCTGCATATTTCTTCTCTGAGTCTTGTTTTTACTCCTCTTGAGAAAAGAGTATTATCTGGGAGAGAAAAAACTTACTAAAATTGGTTATTTTTTAGAAATGTTAATTTTTATTTATGGTATTGTGGATTTTTTTTTTTAACAGTCACACCGAGGAGAAGACTCAGTGGGAGCATCCGAAAACTGGCAAAAGAAAACGAGTAGCAGGAGGTTTGTATATTGTGGTCTTGGGGAAAGACTCTTGTGTTATTGGCGTTATTGAGATCAGGAAGGTATTTCGGGCGGCGAGGAGGTGGCATCCAGTGTCATTCCAGGAGGCTCCCTGGTAGAGAACCAGTACGGAACCCCACTTGTGCTCTGAGGGAGCGATAAGATCCTGGAGTGGAGGAAGATGATTTCTTACTGTCCTTAAACAAAAAGTGTAAAAATAATTGCAGCCTTTGACTCGATTTATTAAGTTTCCCTACAGTTGTGTGCACTGTTTGTAAAATTGCTCTTGGTTTATTTATACCATGGCATTAAGTATGTCAGTATTTTATAGAATTCCATAAAGAGCACCATGACTTCTAGGTGCTTCTCAGCACTTAATATGCAGTCCATGGAATGCATGTTTAAGAATGCAGAAAAAAAAATAGTATCAGAAGATCCCTGCCCTTAAAGGGTTTAGAGTCTAGTTGAAGAGACAGCAGGTGCACATGAAAAATAGTGAAGCTGCTCTGCAGCATTGCATGTGGCCCCTCAGGTCAGCGGAAGAAAGGGGCCGCGTGCCTGCTGGGCCCAGCATGCAGTCTGTGAGTTCATTCAGGGGAGGGTTTCCATTGACTGAAGCAAAGAGGAAGGTTCCCAGTGAAGGAGGAGCCGAATGGAATGGTTAAGAACTGTCAGGAATGAGGCTGGGCGTAGTGGCACATGCCTGTAACCCCAGCTCTCTAGAAGGCTGAGGCAGGAGGATCCTAAATTTTAGTTCTACCTGGGCCACTTAGCTTAGACCTTGTCTTTGGAGTTTATCTCCCAGTCCCGTCCCCCCCCGCCGCTTGAAAAAGGAATGATATGGAGTTTTCATTAAAGCAAGGAACAGAAATTTGGAATCCATTTGGAGGTAAAGGACCTACTGGAACTGTCCCAGTTGGAACAAAGCAAGCTGGAGCAACAGCTGCTGGTAGGTGGGGCTTCGTTCATCCCAACCCTCACAGACCCACAGACCTGTCTCCTTCCTGTGTTTCAGATTTGCCTTATGGATGGGAGCAAGAAACAGATGAGAACGGGCAAGTGTTTTTTGTTGAGTAAGTGTCTACATGTAAACTGTTCTTGGCCAGTTTGCTGTTTGATAGGAATTTTTAATTGTAAAAGTCGTACATGTTGACCACATTCAGTGATGTGGGAGAATGCATCTGTAACCTCGTCAGCAGGAGAAACTGCTTTCAGTGCATTTTGGATTTATTCTTCCAGTCTAGCTTTTTCTCACTTCTCCCCCAGGCTGTTTTCTGTGGACAAGTTTTCTTAACTTAAGGAAATGTTCCGTGTGAACGGTTTAATGACCTGATTTTTCCCAGCACTCGGGAGGCTGAGGCAGGAGGATCACCACAAATTGGAGGGCAGCCTGGACTACAGAGTGAGTTCAAGGCCAACCTGAATTACATAGTGAGACCCTGTCTCAAAAACAAAACCAAAACCAACCTGATTTTTCCACATAATACATTGTGAGTATTTGCTCATATCCTGTATTTTTAAGAAGACGATATTTAATGCTCTAGAGTATTCTTTTATACAGATACACTGTAATTTATCATATTGCCTGTTGGCCATTGTTGTTGTTAAATTTCTGTTACTGGGAATCAACAATTATACTTTTGGACATCATTATCTGTAACACTTTTTCACATCTCCGATTCTGTCTTTAGAATAAATTCGCGTAACATACTGCAGTGGTAACCATCTGTCCAGCAGACCACAGGGGCCAGGCAGATCCTCCTCATCTTGCATGTGCTGTGGTGTCTGCTGGACTCCACTGGAGCTCAGAGGATTGTTCTTGATCACCAGTGTTCCCTGCAGAAGGTTGTGTATTTGACAGGATTAGGACTGACTGGTTCCCGAAGTTGATTTAAGCAGGAATTGAAACATTTATTTATTTATTTATTTGTTTACTTATACTGGGGGTTGAACCCAGGGCCTCGAGCATGCTAGGCATGCAAGTGATCCCTTTCTGAGCCACACACCTACTCCAGGATGATTGTTGCTATTTTTAATGAAAAGCTACTTATGCCTACTCTTCAGATGTGGGTCTGCCGCATGGATTGCAGTGTAGTGTCCTTCCCCAGGCATACCCCTGGCATAGCCACTGAAGCCTCTGCTTTTACTTTCTTTACAGTTGAGCAGAAACTTAGCATTTCAAAGAATTTGAATGCTTCGTGTTGTCTGTAATTTTATGCCATTTGTCTAGCATTTTCACTGTACTTGATTGAACTGAACTTTTTTTGCTTTTTTTGAGACAGAGTCTCTCTCACTTTGTAGTCCTTGTTGGCTTTCACTTCACTCTGCAGTCCAAGCTGGCCTCAAACTGGTGATGCTCCTGCCTCAGCCTCCCTAGTGTTGGTGTTACAGGCATGCACCACCATGCCTGGGTTGAACCAAAACGTTTTTTAGCTACTTGCTTTTGAGGTTCTCCAAAGCATTCAGCCAGATGTTCATAGATTATTTTCATCTCACATGTTACGTGTTGCTGTAGTAATAGTCCATTAAGTAATGTGGTTACAGTAACAAGATCAGAAGTCATAGTTGCAGGTTCGTATGTGGGCAGATGCACCAAGGCTCGCTTCACAGGCCTCTCTGAGCTGCAGGGGAGACGGTTGGGCCAGCCAGGCAGAGGGATGTTTGTTGTTGCCTAGATTACTTTGTTAAAAAGCTTTTCCCCCCTACATTTGTAAAAGTCTTTCTCCTCAACAAATTAAGGCTATCAGTCCTTACCTTATATGTTGCAAATTTTTTTTTTTTTTAACTTTGTTGATGTTTTTAAACACCAATGTAGGAATTCTGAAATTTTGTGTAGCCAAGGTTGCCTTCTCCTGTGTGTCTCTGCCTTTGTACCGTTCTGGGACAGTTGTTCCCAGAAATTGTTTAAAGGTAGTTGGCCCAGAGCAGTTGCTTCAGCAGCATCACGGGCTCCATGTTGTAGATGCCGCCGTCCAGCTCCAGGTGAGGCTGGCGAACTGTGCCTCCCACATCTTCCCGGGGATTACGTGCCCGCTAGGCTGTGAGCTACTGTTTACTCTGGAGAGAGGGCCCTGTACTGGGCCAGAGAATGTGTTGTGTGCTTTGAGGTTCATGTGGTTTCTGTTATAGATTTTCAGCTCTGCTATAAGTAGCCATAGAGTATAATAATCGTTAGCATTGCTGTGTTCCAATCACACCAAATTTACAAAAGCAGCAACGGGCCAGTGCTACCTGTAGGTTAGAGTTTGCTGACTACTGACCTTATGTGGATGTACTAGCAAGGGCTCTGGGGGTGGAGTAGAGTGTGGCCCTGCTGGTCTCGAATCTTGGAGCCTGGGGCTGTGTGCTGGAGGGCGGAGGGCACTTTACCCAGTTTCAAGTGCTGTGTACTGAGGGGTTGGGGGTGACTCGCACACTTGGCTCTTGTGAACCAGCTCCAGCACAGTGCTGCTCTGTCATCTGCTGATACCCCTGGGCTCACAGTGCTTCTCTTGACAGGCTGTGGGTATAATTTTTAAAAAGATTGGATTATTCCTGGGTCTTCATATTTATGCAGCATAGAGTATAGCTTTTAAATGTAATTTTATGCATGGCAAAAACTTTTTAAATCATAAAATCTCATGTATCTCTGCAGAGTTCTTAATAGTTTCTAAGGTATTTTTATGATATTTTGAGGTCTTCCTTTGCCTCAACTCTCAAAAACACACTTAAGGGCCGGGGATTTAGCTCAGTGGTTTCACCACCTGCTGCGCAAGTGCAAGGACCCGAGTTCGATCCCTGGTGCCACCCCCCATACACTTAAAATGCAAGAAATAAATTCTGTTATAAGGAATAACCTAATCATCTCCATGTACCAGTATATCTTAATATTGTTTCTGTAAGATTCAGATCAATTCTAGATCAAAAGAGGTTTGGGTATAGTCTTAAAATGGACATCATTAGAATTTTATTAGTTGGTCATTCTCATATTTACTATGAACACGTTCACGACAGAGCCATACTTTGTATGTCTCCTTGATGGGTGGCTCTGACTCTCCTGTGGTTCATGTGTGACTGTCCCATGCCACCCGATGGGACAGTCGTGCCTGCACCACCGTGGTTCAAGTCTGTGGGAATGTTAAGACTTATCATTTTTATCATTTGGAGTTTTCACTTGTCTATTCGTCTCCTTAGGCCCTTGCACAGGGTGAAGAGATTTAATCGAAAACTCATGGAAAGAGTGGCTGACAGATCTTAGGCCACATTTACATGAATTGAGTAAAAATCCAGGCCGTTCTCTTGAATCCTTCTTTGAGATAGCAGGATACAGGCAGTGGTTATTGTACATTACAGCATATTTTACAGGCAGCTCTGATGGAAAGGTTTTGATGAGTATCTTTTCAGGCAGGAGTGTAAACCTTCTGGAGGCCAGAAGGTAGATTAAACAGGCCCTGGTTCCTCCAGATTGAAGAATAAGCCTTCTGATAGATGAATAATGGGGTTTGCCTCAACTGTAAGATTATCTTGTATTTATAAGTGCTGGTGTTCACTGCTGTGAATTCACGGCTTTCTGCTTTCCTTTGCAGCCACATAAATAAGAGAACCACCTACTTGGACCCAAGACTGGCCTTTACTGTGGACGACAACCCGACCAAGCCAACCACCAGGCAGAGATACGACAGCAGCACCACGGCCATGGACATCCTGCAGGGTCGGGACTTCACGGGCAAAGTGGTCGTGGTCACTGGGGCTAATTCAGGAATAGGTAGGCTGCGAGATTACTATCCTCTTTATTTAGCTTTTGTCAGCACTATAGTGAAATTCACTTAGATGTAACTGTGATAGAACCTTTTTTATAGTGGTTCTGTAATTTAAAGACATGTTTTTGGCCTTTTCAACTATCGTTTCATTAAAATCACGGCCTCCCTTTAAACCAGTGTGGTCATGGCAGGCTACGTAGGGGCCGACCTTGACATCTCTGAGAACTGAAAGCTCAGCAAAACACCACGGCTATTTTGGTATTCAAGCATTAGACAACAGGCTCTGTCTAAGTGTTTTGACCTGGTCTGTGTGGTACACGGACATATTCCAATTACCTGGGTTATTCAAACCAAAATTGATTGGTAATGGGATACGGGGAACAACAACGTATCCTGACTTTGGAGCCAAGGATACTGCAGGTTTCGACTGGTCACTGAGCCTATCATCTTCCGCTGGGACAGGATCTTATTTCTTCATAAAACTAGAGGTTTTGTCCTTGTCCTAACCTCTGAATTAACCCTCCTGATTGCCAGTGCTTAACCACAGTGACCATCGTGAGGTGGACGGATGGCTCAGGGTGGCCTCCTTCCTTAGCATAGTGGGCTGTTGAAGAAACATCAGCCGACCAGATGCTACTTCCATCCGCCTTTTTGGTAGGATCTTATTTCGTCTTGGTCTTATTAGTTTGTTTTGGACCATTTACATCAATATCAGAATCAGTCAAAACCGACTGCTTTGAGAAAAGATTTGTTTACTGATACGGAAATGGAATCACAGCTGTCAAGTCCTGTGTCTGACTCCTTCCCACCCCCACAGGACCCCCTCATTGGCTCCTCGACAGCTTTGATCTCCTCTGCTCTCCTCTCTCTGTCTTTACTAATTTTGAACCATTCTTCTTGAGTCTCCACAAACATCCCCTAGCATCTTTAGGGCAAGCACCGGAGATGAAAATACATTCTTCACAGGTCAAGTATGGTGCAGACAGGGTCTAAAAGCTAACAGGCTGCAGTCCCAGAGCAGAACCCTTCAGTGCACTTGACTAGGAAGGTAGAGAACAAATGGAATTCTTTCCTTCTTTCTTTTTTTTTAGAAGGGATTTATTTGAACTCATCTCTTAAGACCTCATCCTGGGCTCAGAATAGGTCCTGCCCAGTTTCCCAGCTTCTGTGTTGGGGAAATCATCACTGGTATAAAAACCGATGACTTGATATCAGAATTGGTGACTGAATTCTCATTGATCCAAGAAGCCATATGTTGAGAGTGTGGCCCAAAACAGTTTAGAAAACTTAAAACCATAGTAAGGACTTAAGAGAAATATCTTTGCTTTTAAACACTCAGTTAAAAATTAAAAAGACAATCTCATTCCCTGAGTCTTTTAGGTCATTTTTTTCTTTAGTAAGCTATGTGATGACCAATTATTTCCTGCGTAAGTATTCAAGCTCCTCTGTCTGATATTAGATAGCAGACTTTGAAATATGACAATGAATGTACTTGCAAAGATTTGCAACACAAGGCATAGGACATTATCATCCAGGACTCATATGGTTGGTTTAAAATATAGAAAATCTGTGGCTATTACCTCATGCTAGAAAGAGACAAGGAAATTCTGCAACATGGAGAGGAAACAGGCTGTTGATCAGAATGGGCCTTACACAGCTGAGCAAAGTGGACACTGTTCCTCTTAACAACCCCTGCTTGCCCATGGGACTTTCTTCCTGTGTCCGCATTTTACTAGGGGGCACTACAGGGGTGTCTGGTCCAGGTGCCATGGCCAGTGCTGATGGGTAGGACAGGGTGGAGAAGGAGAACCGCTGTTCCGGTGCCCACAGTGCGCAGTCCAGCTCCCAGCTTCCCTCTGAAACCTGCCCCGCCCCTTGATCCTGAGAAGTGGGAATCTAGTTGAGTGTTGAAGATTTTTATTCTTCTGAAATAATACGCTGTGAATTCCAGGCAGTCAGATACTTGCAAGTTGCTTTTTCTCTGCCACATTGGTATCAGGCTTGAAAGAAGAGGCTGAGGATAGATAGGCACGTGGCTTTCCGTCCTAACTGAGCTGGCTTTTGTGTCCTGCCTGGTTGCCTTAGAAAATGACCTTGCCCCAGCAGGCTGTGCCTTCCAGATAGAGTCCTTCCTCCACCTGGGCTGTGCAATGTGCTGAGTTATAAATTGGGATCATTACCTTACTTATGCCTATTTCAAACGAAACAGCTGAATTCTGGGTGATCGGACAGCCTGTTTCCCAGGCTTCTGGGGCACTTAGGAGTCACCTTCTATCAGAGCTTCAGTCGCATTTTCAGCGATGTTTTCCTTTGGCCACATGAAGTGAGGCCCACTCTGTGAATCTGGTTGAATGTGTTGCCTGTGGAGTCCTGTTCTCTTTGAAGCCGAGTGGGCTGGAGTAGAGCCTAACAGTGTTCCTTCAGATTGTGTGTGGAGACTTCATATCTAAAAGTATAAATACCCAATTTGCCTTACAAGGGTTGCTTAGACCTGATATTCCCAGTAGTTCCTTAAAAACAAATGTCCCACAAGGCGCTGCTTTGTTGGAATACTGGAGTTGCCATTGGCGAGGTCCCTGATGGGCACAGGAGCATCTCTCCCTTGAGAGACTTCAGGGTTGTAATAGGGCCCTGCACACATCGAAGGAGATTTTATCTTGTCAGCATCTTCCTCCCCGTGGTCATAAGTGATGCAGAAAGCATTATTTTTAAAATTTTTATTTTAGTTTTGTGAGACAGAGACTTTGTATGTAGTTCAGGCTGGCCTTGGATTCAGTGTGTAACCTAGGCTAGTCCTGAACTCACTACGATCCTCCTGCCTCAGCCTCCTAAGTGCTGGGATTATAGTCCTGCGCCACCACACCTGGCTCTATCTTGAGTTTTTAATGTTTGATGTTACTAAGGCGATTGGAGAAAGTCTTACTGAGTTCCTCTCGGAAAGATCAGGATGACTGTGGAAGACGGCAGGATTCGGGGAAAATGGCAGGAGCGCCTTGGGTTCATGAGACCCTTGTTTTTGCAGCTTAGGTTTGTACCTGGATTTTACTTTGTGGCCTGGACTCAGTTGTCTGGGTTGGGGGTGGGCAAACGACTGCCCCTGGGCCACATCTGACTTGCTGCCTGATTTTCTAAGTATGTTTTTTTTTTGCAACGCAGCACGCCCCTTCACCTCATTGCCAGCCAGGTGGATTAATTACAGCAGAGCTTGTATGGCCCACACTACCTAAAATTTTTTCTTTTTCCGGTACCGGGGATCGAACTCAGGACCTTGTGCTTGTGAGGCAGGCATGGTGCCACTGAGCTAAATCCCTGGCCCTTCACAACCTAAAATATTGCTGTCTGGCCCTTTACAGAAAAAGCTTGCTGACTCTGCAGGAGAGGGTCTGGTAAAATCACCTGCACTCCGAATTGGCCACAGTTTAGCTGAGACTTGTATACTTCGGTTGCCCCAGGCCACAGGGAGATCGTGGCAGCCCACCCAGTGTAAGCGCTGGGGACGTCTCACCAACCGCCCACATCCCTGGCCACAACCTTGCCCCTTTCCTTAGGGAGTTGGAAGGGTTAGAATGTTTTCTCCTCCGAAACTAACACTCTTCTCTCCTTGACCTTTGTTTGACCAGCTTTCTGAACCTGAAGAACGTTGTAGGTTGAGAGCTGTAGCTTGCGGACCTCTCTCAGTGGAGATCAGCATCTCAGTATCCAGGGGGAAGCCATCCCTTCACCCAGAGCTTCTACTAGATGGAGAGGCTGGAGACCCCGCCCTGATCGCTGCCCAGTAGAGACGAGGGAGGAATCCTTGCTGCTGTGCACAGTTAGGCTGAGTGGGAGGGGCAGGCATTTCATGGCTCTCTCGAGTTAGCAGCGTGGTGGCCCTGATTTCCTAAAAGCGAACGGAAATGGCTTCAACACTGTGAGGACTGCATATGAATACTGGAAAGTCTCGGAGGGGGGCTGCATATTTTAGGCTAGGGAATTTCCCACCACAGAAAGGCCCATGCTGGTTTTCTACACTCTTCCTGGCGCTTGAGCTCCTTTGGCAATGGGTGTGCATCTCTCAGAGTAACAAGTGCAGGCTGACGGCTCATCAGAGGTGGGTCTTAGGAAGGAGTCTCTGAACACCTGGATGTGGGGCAGTGGTGCTTGTTGGTGGCACATACAAAACCGTACAGAGCTGGGTGTGGTGGTGCACACCTGTAAGCTCAGCACTCCAGAGGCTGACTCAGGAGGATCAACATGAGTTAGAGGTGAGCCTGGGCTAGATAGGGAGACCCTGTCTCAAAAGGACCCAAAGAAAAACAAAACAAAACACTTGTACAGGTGGATGCCAAGAGTAGAAGATTTAGCATCATATTGTGGAGCCAGGCTTTTGTTAAGCATCCATGAAACACTACTAACCAGTATCAGCACATTAGCTATTTTCACTCTGGTGTTCAATGGCAGTATGATGAACTTTCTACTTAGGCTAATCTTAAGCCAGTAGCAGCTGAAATTTGATTTTTAAATTCCTTTCAGGTTTGAGTCAGGATGAAAAGTTTCTTTCACCGTTTGAACCTTTATAATGCTGGGCTGTATCAAAAGTTGTGGCTTTAAATCTAAAATAGCCTGGCCTGGTCTCGATTTTGGAGCCAGAGGACCCATTAGCAAAAATAAGACTGCTCTTCCTCCAGAGCAAATATAAGCTGGCCACCTCGGTTAAAGTATAGACCACTGAAATGGTTTAATTTACTATTGGAATTTAGGTTTTTTTCATGACCTCCTTCAGGTTTATGGTGGTGATTCTCATTAACACACCCTTAGCACAAGTTGTGCACTTGTCTTATAAAAAGGATATGCTCAAGCTTCCAAAGTCACCCCTAAACTTGTTCTCCCTGAAACAAAGTGAAGGTACCAGATTTTTCTTTCTGAAAAATTTGTATAGTTCAGTATGATTGTAGTACAGCGGTACCTCGGTTCATGAACTTAGTTTGCCTTATGCTTTTGGAAAAGGCTGGCCATGTTTGTGTTT